CACGGCTATTGCCTATTTACACGACTTCTGTATGGCGACTGAACTATACAGCTTAACGATGTCAACCACTCGACCAGTGGCCTTGCAACATCGACACATTCGTGATCGTCAACCAGAACCTTCGGACAGGTCAAAAGGAACAGATTTACGCCTTGGTAAAGGAATTCTCTGATTGCTTTTCAATTGCCTCGAAGGTCCAGCGCACGTCAATTACAAAACACAGAATTATAACGCAAGACGACACGAGGCCTATATGCCAGCATCCATATCGAGTGGCACAGATTCAACTATCTTCCTCTTCATCGTAGGCCAAGCGCACGAACGCGTGGCGCATGCCAGCCGGGTCTTGCTGGTGCTCTTGCCATGGTGACTGCGGCGGGCTACTTGAACGTGGCCAACCTGTCGCGGCATTTCTTAGCCTGTTTGCCTCAACGCTTGTTTTTTAGCCTGTCTGCCTCAGCATCGCTACAATATCATGAGTACTTATTGGTTGTGTTTATGTAGAGTGGTATCATGAAAGTGTATTGTTTATAGTGTTTGTGGCGTGGCTGCACAGGGGGTTGCACTCTTTCTTGGACTCCAATCTAGGTCGATCACTTTACTGCACACACGAATCACCTCGTTCTTATTGTAACCTTACAACACTGCGTGCTCCTTTACTTCGGCAATCCCCTTTCATGTGCCTGACGTCACTTTTTCCTGCACTTTGACATACAGATAAAAAAAACAAATAAGTAAATAGATCACCTTTCTGTTCCTCAACAATGGTCATCATCTGTATTACCTGCATTTCCTTTCAGAAACCTAAAAGCTGGCAGCTTTCTTATCAATAATGTTATATAATGTTGATGACGCTGATAAGATATAAGTTTAGAGGAAGAGGAATTATTGAAGATGAAAAATCCTTGAAACACGGGGTGTCAAAGCAGCCAACATTTCGACATGCAGAGCTGTCTGCCTTGAAGAAGAGAAGTACACTTGTCAAAACGATTCTAGCGGCACCTCGTGTTCCAAAAACTTGTCATCTGAAAATGCACGTATTGTTTGTGAGCCAGAAGTGTCAAGTACGTGGCAATATGCAAGGAAAGGCTCTGGTTACAGATGACGAATATTATTGGGAAACAGAAAGACACCCCTTTTACCTGCTCTTTTTTAGGATGTATCTATTCTGCTTCTTTAAGAGCACTGTAAAAATTCTTCAAGTAGTTATGGAATGTAGTGACTAAAAGAGCTTATTGTCTCATGAATTCACCACCGTGAAATATTTTTTTGTATCCCATTGTACGAGCGCAGTTACGAAAATTTGTCGCCCGCCACAATTTCATTCTTTCTTCTCTGGACGAAAGTCTCAACGAACTTCTTTGTTGTCCAGAATATCTACCTCTCGGCGAAATGGGTGCAACAGGAGCACGGGCTCAGGCTTGTAGTTGAGCAGGTCGGATAGTGGGTAGGCGTGGTAGCGAAGAACCACGAGCTACGCTCTCCCTCGGCCGTTGTTGAATGATGTGAGGTGTTCAGCATACATTAACGCAACTTGCTCATCTGGACGATCTTCATACTTTTGTATGTTAGTCTTGCACCACACATCCGTGCTAGTCTCATCTAATCCTTCATGATTCATCAATGCCCGATTTTTTCGGATGCAGACTTGCTGCTCCGGCCACACGGTGTTTGGCTGTGACAACGGCACGACCTATGTGTGACATGCGAAGGCCAAGCACATACCAGGCAGCCTCTTGCACGGACATCTCGACTGCTTTCAACATCTTCACGCTAAGATGTCGGATAGCTTGCGCATAGGTTAAGGTAGATTCGAGAGATGCGTCCACGAGTGTTCGCAACTCTTTGTGCAGGTTTGACATAGCTCGGTTTGCCTTATTAACAAACTCGGCCACGTATGAGGCACAAGCGTACAGGTCTAAGATTATTTGCAGGTCCATGTTTGAGTCCAGTACTGAGGCTATCCACGGGTTGATATTATTAAAGTGAACCTGATCACAATCCTTTTTCATTTTCAGAGTCGGGCGAGAAATGCCAGCCCGTATGATTTCAATATACTCTTGGTCATATGCAATGCTATTGTCTTGACGCAAATGTTCCATCGAATCGTACACTGTTGTTTTAAGAGAAGCGTATCCTTTAGTTTCATTTGTGATCTCTTTTCTTCTTTAGTGTGGGCAGGCGGAAGTGGCATAATGACTCGAGCTTGCTTCATTGGCCAGAAGGGCGCATTGAATCGGCATTTGGTTCGGCCATTTTTGTAACATGTCTGCGTATGCTGGTGAGTCCGACATCGAGGTCTTCGGGGGCTCTCAGCGTCCAAACAAATCAAATGTTCGGCCATACGAATAGCTTGAAGCATTTCGGGACCGATGTTTTCATTGGGTGCATTATTGAGCCAGAGTAGTAGAAGAGCATGAGCACTGCCCCGGTGCGGAAACTCAATGCGCTTGAAGTACTCCTTGACCGCATAGAAGTCGAACGGGGACACCGTCTTGTGCTGCAGAATCTGCATGATCACTCGCACGATGTGGTCAAAGTACACTGAGCAAACCACCGGATCATCACTCACAAGCATAGACTTTTCATAAAGCCTCAACTTCTCCAACGGTCCTTGAGGATGGTGCGGATCAATGTGTAGATGTTGTAATAGCTTCATAAATCCGTCCCAGTGTATTTCCGAGGCTGGCAAAGTAAAGAACGCTGCTGGCTTGCCGAGCGGGCAGATCATCGCGAACACGTCTTGTTTGCGCCGATGCCAATACTGTACTGTGTTTGGGACACTGTGCATGAACGCCATGTTGTGCTCGACTGCGCTTTCGAGAAATTGTCGGTTCTCCAAGTGCACCTTGGTAACCACACCCATGTCAGTCGTGTTCCTGAAGAAGACATTTGCCGACGAAACAATTCACGTGCACATCACTTTGGCTGCCATATATAGCACGTGGCAAGCTGCCGCACTTCCTTTGGTCCGTTCTCTGACATTCGCTCGATACCATGGTGTACACGCTAGGCTTGCTGGCTGGGTTGATGTTTCAAGGCTCACCGAGGTATATTTGAGGGAACGACAGCTCCTCCGCATGCTCATCGTACGCAATGTTCAGTGGTGTTACACCTTCCCCTGGTGCTATTACGAGAACATTTTCTGTCGTCAATTACAAGTGTATGTTGACTGAGCGACATGGCCAACGAGGCCTCCATGATATTGTTAAGTTCTTCTAGGCAGTCTACATGTTCGCAATTCTCGTTGTTTGAATCTGCCAGGTTTTCGCACACTTTGTCCATCTTCTCTCGACTGATTGTGATGCCATGATAACGATATAATGTAGATTGTTCGATAAACGTGAGCCAGGGTCGCAACTCATCCTTTTTGACTATACCACGAATGTATACCCTTTTATATATCATGCAACGCTTAATGTGAACGAACAAAGCTTGATCCTCTTCGACATCTGGAGGAAGCATTTGGACTGTTGTGTTAACACTGATTGGAACGTTCACAATCGGCCCCTTGATTGATTTATACAGTACTGCTAGCCTCTAGCTGAGGCTGTAAGCAGGAGTGGTAGTAACAGGTACAAAATAAAGTGAACAAATCAAGATACAACACTCGTGTCATAAAAAAACAAAAGAAAGAAACGAAAGAACGCTCCAGACAAAGATAATGTAAATCATAATCGCAACATATAAAGCACTGGTATGCACAAACTGATTATAGAAAGATATGACCGTATTTCTGTTTACCAAACAAAAAAAGGATACGCAATAGCGGTATCGCGTCAACTAAAAGAGTTAAAAAAAAAGGTTATAATGCACTCTGCAGAAAAACTAAACAGATAAGTGTAAGGCATATAGACAGCGTTTGAAACTACAAAGGTTGTAAAAAATTGTGACGGTGATCACACCTGAAGTGAGCACACCGGAAGAATTTCTACAAAAGAATCAGTAGTCAGGACATTCCACAACACTGGCTGGGAGGCGGTTCCACTCACCAGTTGTCTTAGGAAAAAAAAGGAGTTTGTAAATGTTTTAGTGTGTCAGGATACTCTTTTATTTTTTATTATGATGGGACCCGGTAGCTCGCTTGGGCACTGGTTCTATGTACCTTTCCTTGTGTATACCAAGTTTGTCGTGAAATAGCAGATGCATGAATTTTAATCGGTCTCGTTAGCACCTCTTTTGTAGATATTCAAGACCTGCTTTTTTTACCAAGACACTCGCAGAAGTGCGCCAGCTGTACGAATAAGATACAAACCGAGCCACTTTATTTTGGACAGATTCTAGCTTTTTATGTTCCCTTGTGTGTATGGGTCCCAAACTATCAAAGCATATTCTAATACAGGATGGACTAAAGTTTTGTATGGTATTAATTTAACCTCGTGTTCACATTGCCACAAATTATGTTTAAACAACCTTGTTTCCACATCGCCCTCTTTACAACTTCCGATATATGTTCGCTCCACCTCAGATCCGACGTTATTATAACCCCCGAGGTATTTATATTTGTTAACAGCGAGAAAGTTGCCGTCTATGGAATATGAATAACGTAATGGCAGTCATTTTCATGTAACAGTCATCACAACAGATTTTTTAACGTTTATTTTCATTTGCCAATCTGTACACCACACAGATTGGCAAATGGCGAAGTGGCCGCTGTCACTGTACAGTAGTCTCATAATTTGCATAAAGGGTATTCGCAGTGACACAAGGCACTCACTCATGAGATTAAGCTTTGGCAAATGAGACTGTTTTGATGCGTACGCAACCCGTTCTTGGTGGAAAAGTTTGGCATGCGGTCTCGTCGGATGCTCTGCATGCAAGTGCGACACACCTGGAATCCAGAAACATCCATGAAGAATGCATCAGAAACCACTTCAGCATGCGTTTCTGGAAGAGGCTTTAGAACGTTTTTGCGCCAAACATGATCACACACGGAGCACGAGTAGCCAAACAAATGGTTTGTTTGTGAAGCGTTTGTGAAACATATTAGTGGCACTCACATGCTGTCCTAACCTCTCCCAGGCTGTTTGTTCTGCCTCGGCTCGTCGCCAAAGTCGTCTGGCCTCGGCTTCACGAGACCTCAAATCAGGATTTTCTTGCCGCTGTTGACGCCTCTCCTCGGCTTTTCTTGCTGCCGTGTGAGGGTTGTCTTGGCGATGCCGACGCTGGGCCTCCGCTCCTAGAGCTCGAAGTTCTGCGTCATTTTGTTGTCGTTGACGCTTGTGATCGGCTTCCCGCGCTCGTAGTTGGGGATCCATATCACAGCGACGATGCTTCATTACAGCTTTCCTCACTCTCAGCAAGGCACCTTCATGGCAATTGACCTCCACTTTCTTGACGTTTCGTTCTGCATGTTCCTTTCGTTTACGCCACATGGCTTCCCTTGCTCTGAATTCTGGGTCCGCATTGCGCCGCTGTCGTTTCTTCTCGATCTGTTCAGCCAGCAGTTGGGGGTTTTCCCGCCGCTTTCGTCGCATAGCCTCAGCATGCCGTCTTTTGCGCTCTGCATTTTGCGCCTCGGTCAAGCATGGCCTCCCTCGTCGTCGAGCACTAACTGATACAGATGCTGCATGAGGATGTCGCAGATAAGGTAGACAGTGTAGTGCACCCAGTTGGTTGTCCTTGAAAGTCCACGTCGTTCTGACTTGTTCGTTCACTAGTTGACGAGAATGTGTCACCAGTAGCCACCGATAAGCAGGGGCCACTTCCCTCTGCCGATAAGGTAGTCTGGGTAGTGCACCCAGTTGCTCGTGCTTGAACATTACCATCGCTCTGGCTCGTTAGTTGTGGAATGCTACTTGACATGAATGTCCCACCCGCACTCGTCGATGAGCAAGGCTGTGCAGCGTGACCACTTCCATGTACTTGAACGGCGGAACCATATAAGCTCCATTGCCGCTGCCGTTTTGCCTCACTCTGTTCAGCCAGCAATTGGGGGTTTTCCCGCCGCTTTCGTCGCATAGCCTCAGCATGCCGTCTTTTGCGCTCTGCCTTTTGCGCCTCGGTCAAGCGTGGCCTCCCTCGTCGTCGAGCACTAACTGATACAGATGCTGCATGAGGTGTCGCAGATAAGGTAGACAGTGTAGTGCACCCAGTTGGTTGTCCTTGAAAGTCCACGTCGTTCTGACTTGTTCGTTCACTAGTTGACGAGAATGTGTCACCAGTAGCCACCGATAAGCAGGGGCCACTTCCCTCTGCCGATAAGGTAGTCTGGGTAGTGCACCCAGTTGCTCGTGCTTGAACATTACCATCGCTCTGGCTCGTTAGTTGTGCAATGCTACTTGACATGAATGTCCCGCCCGCACTCATCGATGAGCAAGGCTGTGCACCGTGACCACTTCCATGTACTTGAACGGCGGAACCATATAAGCTCCATTGCCGCTGCCGTTTTGCCTCACTCTGTTCAGCCAGCAATTGGGGGTTTTCCCGCCGCTTTCGTCGCATAGCCTCAGCATGCCGTCTTTTGCTCGCTGCCTTTTGCGCCTCGGTCATGCGTGGCCTCCCTCGTCGTCGAGCGCCAGTTGACACAGATGCTGCATGAAGTGTCGCAGATAATGCAGTGTGGGTGGTGCTCCCAGTTGCTCGTGCTTGAACGTTAGCATCGTTCTGGCTCGTTACTTGGTGGACACTACTTGACATGAATGCCCCGTCCCGCAGGCACTCCTCGATGAGCAAGACTTTGCAGTGTGGCCAAGTCCCCTCTGCTAGAACGGCGCTCTGCTGTAGTCAAGACACGTTTTTCACAATGTCTCACAGATGGAACACAGACACACACACGCGCGCGCACACACACACACACACGCGCGCGCGAATGGTACACACAGGTTTTTGATCTAAAGCAAGAGTCGGATGGCCTCCATGATAAACGACGCGCGCTTGCCATCTCAGGTCATAAAGAGTAAGTAAGTAAGTAAGCGGTCCTAATTCCTTTTAGCACAGGGCAAGCGCTCGCAACGCCACAGGAAATGTGCGCTCAAACGCGCACCACAGAACACCTACCAGTGCGCGCACCATACACGTACACACGCACACACACATCACTGGATAGATGGATGGATGGATAGTTATGGCTGCACCCTTTAGATTGGGCGGTGGCTAGCGCCACCAAGTCGTAATACTTAATGAACCAAAAACTAGATTTATTTTTTTCTTTAAAAAGTGAGTTTGAGGATTCGTACTTTGCAGTGAAGAGTTTAATTTTCACTCATGCCTTGACTTTAGCCACCAATCAGATAACCTCCTTCTAGTTAAGTCTACCCGCCTGAAGTCTATTTTGCCCTCCCGGTCCCTAAACCCCAGTGCTTTGAAAAACTCTGCGCCATCATCCTGAACTCCGTGGTTTAATACATCCCTTAAACGCTTAAACAATAATAAAAAGCGATTATTCCGGGCAGCTAAAAATTCTAACACGAATCAAGCCTGGCAAAAATATTACACCGCTGAAAACGATTACAAATCCTCAGCCGCCCACGCTAAACAAAGTTTTTTCTCTGTCACATTACCCTCCATGCTACGCACTGATCCAAAGCGCTTCTGGAAAACGATTAATCCCAGTGCATCTAACTCTGTTTCCCTGTGTGATAGCTCTGAACTCCCTATTCCGGACCGTGAAGTACCAGATATATTAAACAGCGCATTTAGCGCTGCTTTTACACGTGAACCCTTGAATGACCTTCCTACTGTCCCTTCTTGTGATAACCCCCCCATGCCGAGTATTATGTTTGAACCACAAGGCATAGTGAAAGTAATTGACTTGCTTAAAAATTCATCATCTGTTGGTATTGATGGTATCAATGCTAAAGTGCTAAAAAACACCAAACGCATGAGCAGCCTGTTTCTCTCACTCATTCTTCAACAGTCTCTGAACACAGGATCGGTTCCCTGTGACTGGCGCATCGGCAAGGTCATACCAGTATTTAAAAAGGGGAATCGTTTGAGCCCCAATAATTACCGACCGATTTCAATTACCAGTGTCTGCTCTAAAATCATGGAACATGTATTGTATTCGCACATTGCCAAATTCTTGCATTCCGTTAATTTCTTCAATCCTAATCAGCATGGTTTCCGTAAAGATCATTCCTGTGACACTCAGCTTTCCATATTTCTTCATGACGTACATTCATGCCTAGACCGCAACATTCCAACTGATGCAATCTTTATTGATTTTGAAAAAGCATTTGATAAAGTCGCCCACAATCGCCTACTGCTAAAATTGTCTCGCCTTAATCTGGACCCATTTGTGTTGAACTGGATAAACGCATTTCCAAATGACCGCCAGCAATTTGTCCACGCCAATTCGCATACATCATCACTCACGCACGTGCTCTCCGGTGTTCCACAAGGAACCGTTCTGGGGCCACTTCTTTTTTTCATGTATATAAATGATCTCCCCACGAATCTTACATCGAACGTCCGTCTTTTCGCAGACGACTGCGTCATTTATCGCTCTATAAGTAGCACCTGTGACATATCCGCACTACAAGAAGACTTATTTCGCGTACAGGTTTGGTGCAATAACTGGCTGATGTCGTTAAATGTCCAAAATACTGTGCACGTTTCTTTCCACCGCCGCCACAATTTTGTGCAGCCTAAGTATACTATTAACAATATTGCTATTGATTCTGCCGACTCGGTTAAATACTTAGGTGTCCATATATCCCACGACTTAAACTGGTCTTGTCACATTAACCACATAACGAACTCAGCTAACCGTGCTCTTGGCTACCTGCGCCGTAATCTTGGCCTAACCCCTTCCTCAATAAAATTACTTGCATACGAAACTTTCGTGCGGCCCAAATTAGAATATGCAAGCGCTATCTTCGATCCTTACCAAACTTATTTGATCAACACCCTGGAATCTGTCCAAAATCGCGCGGCTCGATTTGTTTTGTCTGATTACTCTCATTATTCAAGTGTTTCAGCGTTAAAAGCAGACCTTAACCTTCCTTCGCTTCAATCTCGCCGCAAAATAGCTCGTCTGTGTCTTTACCACAAATTCTTCCACTCGCAACAACTCAGAAATCAGTACATCCGACTAGCCCACCGTATTTCCCGTACTAGCCACGCCAACGCAGTCTATCCGGAACGTGCCCATACTAATACATTCCAACAATCATTTTTCATACGCACATCCCGAGACTGGAATGACCTACCTGCTGAAGTTGCTACCATCATGGACCAATCTCGTTTCAAGCACGCCATTGTAGTGCCCCCATAATTAATGTACCCATTCTGTTGCTGTCGCTACGATATTGTAACCCTCCTTTCTAGTATTGTGCCGCACCCCTTATATAGAAGTGCCGCCATAACTTCTGTACATAGTCTGTTGCCGTTACCATGTTGTTACCCTTCTTTCAAGTGCCGTGTTATGCCCACCCCTCATGTAATGTCCCTATGGGACCTTTGAGGAATAAATAAATAAATAAATAAACTATAGGGTGAAGCCCTTTACAGAACATTATCAAGTGTCCGGCAGTTTCTTCTTTCTCTCCACACGCACTGCATACTATGTCTACCCCTTCGTATTTGGCCCGATATGTCTTGGTTCGCAGTACTCCCGTCCTGGCCTCAAACAGTAGAGAATCTACCTGAGTATTATCATAGATCCTTTCCTTGGCAATTTCCTGAGCGCCGCCATAGTCCTCTTTGGGCTGCGCGAATTCGAGTGACCGCTCAAAAATGCCCTGACAACGCTGCGCCCTTTGCCTCTGTACTCCCGCGCGCAGCCCAACATGGCGGTTTTTTTTTTTGTTTTTTCCCTGCTATGAAAAGGTGTATAGTACACTGTAACAATTGCGTGTACTATCCAGTAGTACCCATCATTCCCATGCTCGCTAAAGCGCCGCGCGTCAGCTCCCATAGGCACTAACGCCACAGTTTTCTGTAGTGTATACTAGGAAACTCTGTGCACACGCACTTCACGCGAGCACACATACACACGTCTTTAACTTCTCTGTTCAGAAGAAAAAAGAGTCTGTAAGTAAATCGCCAGTTTCGCCACCAAATAAAACGCGCCCCCGGCCAAGTCAAGCCAAGGCACGGAGAAAAGCCAAGGCTATCCAGTGGTGTCGGCGTCGTTAGAGTAGGTGTTCTGTGGTACTACCACATACCACAGAACACCTACCAGTTTGGTACTACCACAGCATTGAAGGACTCTGGCACTACTGTAGCGTCGTCGCTGCGCTAGAAGTAGGTGTTCTGTGGCTAGACCACAGAACACCTAGACTCTGTCGGGGTGTTCGTCCACCAGCCAGCACAGTCTGTCCCAGAGTTTTAGGCGTCGCTTGGCGCTCTCAGTGTGCTCGACTCGGAGGTCGACGGAATCGTCTGAAAGACCCAGATATTCCGCCAGGCTTAGCATGCGGTGCTTTCATGCTTCAAGTCGCGGGCAGTCAATTATGATATGTTAGATGGTTTCCTCCGTGGCACCGCGTAGGCGGCACGACGGGTCCGCGTCGAACAGTTCACAACGTCGCTGCCGCGTGGTCAGAGAGCCCGTCCTGGCTTGGAACAGAAGGGCGCTTTCCCGGTCGCCCCTGTAGAGTGGCTCACAGTCTGGAGCCAGCTGTGCTGGCTTCGGTGATAGTGCTTTTTGTTATTTGACGCCATTCTCGTTCTGATTTTACTTCTAGTTTCGTGTTATGGCCGAATTTATTTTCCAGGGAAGCCAGTCGTTTCATCCACTGTTTTATGCCGCTGTATCGAAGGTGCAGACCTTTTCAAAAACGCCTCACTGAGCGCCGCCATAGTCCTTTTTGGGCTGCGCAAATTGGCGTGACCCCTTAAAATTGCACTGACAAGGCTGCGCCCTTCGCCTTTGTAGTCTCGTGCGCAGCCCATCATGGCGGTGTTTTTTCCCTCCTGTGAAAAGGTGTATATGCGCTGGCTGTGATTTGTCTCTTGTAGGAACTTCAGCCGGCCCGCATACTGTATTTCTGACCTTGCTTTGCGTGCTTCGAAAGTTGATTAACTCCTCTGTTACTGCTGTGTTTGCTGTTGCAAAGCTGTCTCCCAGTAGCCAGTACCCCAGTTCACTTTGGTGGCGGTCCAAACATCTCACTGTTTGGATAGAGCACACCAGTGTGTCACCTGCGTAGGTTATTGCAGGAGGCACACCAAGGGTCTTTCAAAGCGTGCGTCCTGCCCTGTAGGGGTTGTAGGAATGCCGTGACAAGTGCCACACCCTACCTTTTAGGCGGTTGGATAGTTTTAGTAGCATTTCTTGGTGTTTGTTAAAGCAATTCTTTTTGGTCTGATATTGTTATGCCTAAGTATACGTATGTTGCTGTTTTCTTGATGGTTTTGCCTTGGGTGGTGAATGTTGTCTTTGTCATCAATGTTTATGCCCATCCATTGTGTTTTTGTCAGTGTTCAATCTAAGCCAATCATCGTGGGCTACTTGTCTCACAATGCCTCACAGAGGACTGGCATATTATCTAGTGTTTGCTGTTTGCTTGATCAATGCCTCTGGAAAGGCATGATATGTTTTCCGCTAGATGGACATGTCCATTTTTTAGAGCTGTTTCAAAGCTCCTGTGTGTTTTTAGCGGCGATGGCTACACTATCACGGCCTTTTTTTTAACGTAGTTTGGTAGCCTCCCAAAAAAGCGCCCTTTTTTTTTTCTTTGAATGCGCAACTTTTCAGTCTGATCGCGTGGGCATGAATGGATTGATATAGTAGTACCCTTTAGATCACACGGCGGCTAACGTCACCTAGCCGTAATAATTAGTGAACCAACAACTAGATTCTTTCTTTTTCCCTTTAAATAGTGAAGTTGAGGACTGGTACTTTGCACTGAAGGATTTAATTTTCAATTGGGCCTTGATTTCAGCCACCAATCAGATAACCTCTAATTATTCCTAGCCGCATAAAGTCTATTTTGCCTTCGTTGTCCCTGAACACCAGTGCTTTGAAAAACTCTGCGCCATCCTAAACTATAGGGTGAAGCCCTTCACAGAACATTATCAAGTGTTTCGCAGTTTCCTCCTCCTCTCCACGAGCACTGCATACA